GACAAGGATAAGGCATGAAACAAGTCCAGAAGGAAAAGGACTAGGGTAATTCGGCACAAACTTAGGCTTCTAGAAAAGGGGTATTGTGACAGGTTTCTAGAAGGACAAGGGATAAGATATGCGACAATAATCTTGGGCAGAGTATAGGGCTTCTAGAACCAAATATTTAGATGATTTAATGTGAAATTGATTCCTCTTTGCAGCTGGAATTAAGGTAGGAAAAGATTAGGATAGAATAAGATAAGATAAGGTTGGATAGGGTTTGGATAAGATAAGGTAGTTTGGATAATGTTCCTTCCTTTTAGCTGATTCCTTATCTTCCAAGTCTTGAATTAATTTCTCCAGATGTTAAGCACATTCCTAGCCTTTTTTTGATCTTCAAAAATGTCCATCCACTTTCCTCCATGCATGTGTTATCCATTCCAAGCCCAAAACTGCTCTAAAATGCTCCAAGTTGTCTTTTCTTGCCAACTTTGCCATTTGAACCTACAAACACACGAAAATGGCTTAAAGCACTCTAAAAAATAGAAACTAACTGAGTAAATGCAAGGAAATAGGTTAACAAAGTTGCATAAATATGCTTCTATCATTACATGCAAACCATTTCGATATTTTATGGTTTTGGTTGACGCTTTCATACGTTGGTCACATGTGTTTTTGTTGTCCACAAGGAACGTTGCATTCTCTAAATTGTTGGCTCAGGTTATCAAGCTCAGGGCTCACCACCTTGATTATCCAATTAAATCTATTCGATTGGATAGTGCTGGATAATTCACATCTAAAACTTTTGATGACTATTGCATGTCGGTTGAGGTTGAAGTTGAACATCCAATACCCCATATTCACACCCAGAACGGCCTGGCAGAGGCATTCATTAAATGCTTACAAATGATTGCTTGATCATTAGTCATACGTATTAAGTTCCCGATCGCTACTTGGGGCCATGCAATATTACACGTAGCCATGTTGGTCCGTCTGAGGCCTGTTGCGACCCAACCATATAGTGCCATTCAGTTGGTTACCGAATGCCAACATATTACATCTATACATTTTTGGTTGTGCGGTCTATGTACTGATTTTGTCGTCCTCACGTACAAAAATAGGGCCTCAAAGAAGGATGGGAATCTATGTCGGATATGATTCTTGTTCAATTATTTGTTACTTAGAACCTTTGACAGGCAATCTATTTACCGCTTGTTTTACTGATTGTCACTTTTATGAGATAGAATTCCCGTCACGTTCCTAAAAAACGATGCGAATTATTGTGGATGACTCCCACTTTGTCTCATTTAGATCCTCGTACCTTTTAGTCTGAAATTGAGGTACATCACATATTAGATCTCTAGAGCATAGCTCAGAGCATGTCAGATGCTTTCACCAATCTAGCACGCATGACAAGATCACATATTCTAGATACGAATGCACCTACAAAGATGGATATACCAAATGTACAATGGACTTCCCTCCAGGAGGCACGGGATGCCAATCTTGGTGATCCACATACATTAGCGGCTAGCCAATCATCTTCCCATACACAAAAGCATGGTAGACCTATTGGTTTAAAGGATTCACACCCCTCGAAAGAGAAAATCCACGACACAAGCTTCTAAAGAGCCTACTGTGAATCCGACTGTTGCTTACTCATTTTATCCAACTCATGAGGAAATTTTAGATTACGGAAGTGTCCTTGAAGAGACGAATCCTTATTCCGAGAATCATGATACTTCGGTCTATTATGCTAGCTTAGATAATGTGTGGTGTAGAAATAAGATGATCATCGACAATGCATTAGAATATGCAATAGCTACTAAGATCATGTTGAGCGATGACATTGAACCTTATTCAGTTGATGAATGTCGACGTAGAATCGATTGATCAAATTGGAAAAAAGCAATCTAAGTCGAACTCAATTCGCTTGCAAAACATAAGGTGATTGGACTTGTAGCTCCTACTCCTCCACATATGAAGCTCGTTGGCTACAAATGGGTTTTCATTTGGAAGCGTAATGAGAAGAACGAAGTTGTGCATTACAAAGCTTGTCTTATTGCGCAAGGCTTCTCACAATGCCCCCAGATTGACTATGAAGAAACTTATTCACCCGTTATGGATATGATTACTTTTCGCTACCTTATCAGTTTGGTAGTTTCCAAAAAACTTAGTATGCAGCTGATGGATATAGTAACTGCGTATCTCTATGGGGATCTTGATACATAAATCTATATGAAAGTTCCTAAAGGACTTACATTGATTAGATCAAATATTTCCAAACCTCAAAACACGCTCTCAATTCGGCTGAGGTGTTCACTTTACGGTTTGAAACAACCCGAAAGAATGTGGTATAACCGTCTGAGTGAGTATTTGACTAGTCAAGGATATGTGAACAACGAACTATGCCCTTCTGTGTTCATTAAGAAGTCACATTCTAGTTTTGCAATAGTTGTGGTATATGTCGATAACATGAACCTTATCGGAACTCCTGAAGAGCTCGTGAGAACTGTCGCACACCTGAAGTTGGAATTTGAGATGAAAGATATACGAAAGATTCGATATTATCTTGGTCTTGAGATAAAGCACCATTCGGATGAAATCTTAGTACATCAAACAAAATACACCTATAAGGCGTAACGAGGATAAAGCGAAACCTTCGAGCACTCTTATGGTCGTTTGATCGATAGATACAAAACGAGATCCTTTCTGTCCGAAGGAGGATGATGAAGAGATTTTGGAGCCTGAAGTTCTTTATCTAAGTATGATATGCGCTTTGTTGTACTTAGCTTAATGAATTAGACTTGACATCTCCTTTCTTGTTAATTTTATGGCAAGATACAATAATGCACCAACACGTAGACATGGACTGGCATGAAAGACATCTTCGATTACCTTAATGGTACTATGGATTTGGGCTTGTTCTATCCCTATGGATCCTCGAGTGATGCCACACCCCTTGCTTCTCAAGTCGATTCTCACCTTGTTAGTTATGCCGATGTAAGATACTTCTCTGATCCGCACAAGGCGCGTTCTCAAATGGGTTATGTCTTTATCGTTGGAGGCACTGCAATCTCTTGGAGGTCAACTAAACATCCCTTAGTTGCCACTTCGTCTAACCATGTTGAAATTTACATGAAGCAACTCGAGAATGCTTTTGGTTGAGAAGAGTTGTGGGCCATATTTGAAGCTCTCGCGATCTTTACCCCGTCGTAGATGTTCCAACAACGACCTTTGAAGGCAACGCATTATGCATCGAACATCTAAAGAAGGGTTACATCAAAGGAGACAACACCAAGTACATTGCGCTGAAGTTCTTCTTCTCACATCAACAACATGAGTATCAGAAGATTGAAGTCACGCAAATCCGTTCACAAGACAATCTGGCCAACCTCTTTACCAAATCACTACCGAATGCGACATTTCAAAAGCTTGTTCAAGGAATTGATATCCGTAAACTTTCTAAGTTGTAACACTGCTATTTCTCTTTGGAATTGTGTCAAACTCAAGGTGAGTATCCTGAAGATACTTGCTCGATCTTAATGTACTCTTTTTCCCTACGATTAGGAGCATTTTTCCCACTGGGTTTTTGCTACCTAACTAGGTTTTAACGAGGCACCCACATTGGGCTGGTTATATCCCTAATGACGTCCCGTAAACATTTCTTTTGACTTTTGCATTTCTCACGCATTTTTCCTTACACTATAGATTTTGTCCTTACTTGGTTTTTGGCCATAGCCTTAGGGTTTTTTAGTGAGACTTACTACTTTGTGCAAGTTCTTACCTTATTGAGAATAAGCGTTGTTCCCAAAATCAATGTCGACGAGTCGACTTCCTCAACTTCTACATGATATTGAATCTACCTTGAGTATTTACACACTCAAGGGAAAGTGTTGTGAACTTTTCTAGTTTAAGTGTAATTGTGTAAATCCTAAATTAGATTTGATTCTAATTATTCTTTCCTATATGAATTTGTATTCCTTAGGGATGAAGGATTTCTTCACTTCTATTACTACTATAAATAAAGGCACTATGTAGAGGGGATAACAGATCCTTAACACATAATTCCCCTACGATTCTACCAATGTATTAAAAGCGTGAGGTGTGAGCGAGGCATCCGAGGGATAGCCCAGCCTAGGCGTGAGGCGAAGCCTCACGGAACCTAAATTTTTTTAATATATATGCTGAGTGTACACACATTTATTATATTAAAAAAGATTAGTAATCAATAATCACCCTGAGCACACACATATATTATAAATATATATACACACATATATATACATATATTATATTACACACACACACATATAATAGAGGATGAAAAGTACAATGAGCACATATATAACAATGCACGCAGACAGTACACACATCCATTATATAAAAAAAATAAAAATTAGGGAAGAAAGGCAGAGAGATGATAGTGCAAGGAAGAGGTATGAGATAGTTAAAACATACCCAAAATTTGGGTTTGGGAGTAGTTAAAAAAAACAAAAAAGCCCCTGAGGTGCACCTAGGCGGCTTCGGCGACGCCTTCCGCCCACTCCCTCAAAACAGAGGCAACAACCCTCACGCCCAGCCTCTGAGGACACCTAGGCACGCCCTAAGGTGGGCCTTTTAAAATATTGGATTCTACAAACACATCTCTCCTCTCTCTACCCTTTCTGCCGACCCTTTTTTTCTTGTTAGATAAAATAGGCTACAACATAAACATGTTTTTTTAAGTGTTTTTTTTTTTCAATATTCACTTGCATGTTTTTTTAGTCATTTTGAAAACACTTCCAAATATGCTCTTAAATAAACCATATAAAAAATTAATTTAGTATCAAACTCGTTATCTACAAAAGTCGATCAGTCAAAATAAAAACTTTACATTAAGTAGTGGGTTCAAAACGTAATTTTAGGTAATTAGAACCACGTGGGCCATGCTCGTTAGTCCTGGTCCCCACTAAACCAAAACGACACCGTCTACTTGATTTATTTCTTGAAGCAAACGACACCGAGAGATCTGAACGAAGAAAAGCGAAGTGTTGTACCCGGAGAGCTCATCCTCCACTTAGCTCCAAGCCCTAATCCTGCTCTCTCTCTCTCCTCTCTCAATCCCCCTCTCTCTCTCAACCAGACCGATCACCATGACCAAGCAGCACGCTAACTGGTCCCCCTACGACAACAATGGCGGGTATGTATTCTCTCCTTCCCTACGACAACTGTTGTCATCGTTTTTCCGCTCTATTTTTTATTTGCTTTTTGGGGAATTTTAGTGTTTTCGTGCTGATTGCAGATCCTGCGTTGCGATCGCCGGAGCCAACTACTGTGTGATTGCTGCCGATACTCGGATGTCGACTGGTTACAGTATTCTCACCCGCGACTACTCCAAAATCTGCAAATTGTACGCTACGCCTTTATACAAATTTCCTTCGTATTTTTTTTTTCTCTTAAATGTTTATATTTATGCACTTGATTTCGGAGAGTCGAAAGTCTTAGACTTTTGAAAGCAGGCTTCTGCTGCGTATAATTTTATCTGATTTTACTGCTTTTAGGATTTTTTGTTGGCGTTTTTGGGGTTTTATCTGATTTTATTTTGCTTATGGTTAGGTTTAATTTTGATTACAACTTGGGTATGTGTTTTTTATGTTTCTGTACATAGTTAGGGGGGCATTTTTACTCACCATTACTATTGTATTGACTAGTGACTACTGTTGATATGTATGAGTTTTGAGATTTGTGTAGGGCATAGAGTAAGTCACATTCATCCAACCGTGGTTAATACGGTGGTAATGCTTGCCACTTAAGAGTTTAGTGGTAGCAAAAATTATCTCTTTAGTTAGCTCATAGCCTTGGAAGTGTGGCCATTATAACAGCGTGTTTGTTGAAAGTTCAAAATGCTTGCAGTTTTACTGCTAATCAGTTTTGTGATAGCTTTTGTTCTTATGCTTGACCCACTTCCTGAAATATGTAAAAAGTGTGGCAGATGATAAAATATCTGAGATAATAAGCACCCAAAAGGTCTTATTGAAGGATAAAAAAAACATGAAATTATGCTGAAAAGAAATTGATTTATGAAGTGAAGCTTCTATATTCAACCCGATATGAGGAAAAGAATCCTAGGTCAAGGCAGTAGCTCAGTACGGGCCTATGTTCTTAGTGCTTAGTGAAGCATGAAAGTACGAAATTAAGGTGAAAACAAATGAGGATGAAATGAAGATTCTAGGATTGAGTGCCTAGCCTATTGTCAGGCCAGATTTTCAAAAACCCTGGTCTAAAGGCTGATGCTGAAGACCCCAGAGGTTTCTAAAACCCTGCCAATCCGTACTGTACTAATTTTAGAAGTTGGGTTATGCTTAAAAAATCATTTGGAACGTAAAAATTAAAGAGATAAGAGGAGCTGTGTTGAGGATACAAGAATTTGAAGGCAATGCAGCAAAAGACAGAGGTGGGGCTGAGAACAAAAGGTAGCTAGCCATATGAAAGAAGTATGGCATTACAGTTGGTATAAATAGAGTGATCTGTAGGCCCCAGATTGCAAAGGTGATAAATTAGTTGGGGAAGCTGCGCATAATGATAAAGGTTTATTATAATGAAGCATAATGATAAAAGTTTATTATAAAAAAAAAAAATGAAGCAAAATTGGTTCAACTTCTGGCATAGGGAAAATTCCCTTTCCTAGTTTTTATGACAAAACTTCCAGATATACCAGAAAAATTCTCAGTTATAAGGTGCGGGAGCTCACTGAGGGAAGCAAAGGTGAAGATAGAAGAGCAAGAGAGTGGCTATCATATGAAGATAGAAGAGTAAATTAGCTCTTAGTAGTCATCTTGCCATAATGTCAATACTCATTTATGTAGATTGAAATGTGGTTTCTGTTCACATTTACTAGATGATGCATAAAGTCTTATTGTTTTGTCTTTTAAACTTGCAGAGCGGACAAAGCTGTATTGGCATCTTCGGGTTTCCAAGCTGATGTGAAAGCTTTGCAAAAGCATTTGGCAGCTAAGCACTTGGTGAGGCTTCAAAATCTTATTGCAATACCTTGTTTTTCCTGGACTCTTTTTGGTTGCAACAGATGGTGTTGGATGTTTTTGACCATGTGTAGGCTATATCTATTTGTGTTGGCATGAAATAAACATTGAGTTATGTCAAGAACTGGTGATACATCCTTTGTTTCCTTGTTTCCCAGACTTATCAGCATCAACATAACAAACAAATGAGCTGCCCTGCAATGGCTCAATTGCTTTCCAACACCCTTTACTACAAGCGTTTCTTCCCCTACTACGCTTTTAATGTTTTGGGTGGTTTAGATAGCGAAGGTAAATATTAGAGTTTAAAACCTTTGGCTGCTAGTTGAGACTTTTCTGGCTAACAACTCATTTTCATTAATAATTTGCAGGTAAGGGTTGTGTCTTCACATACGATGCTGTTGGTTCCTACGAGAGGGTTGGGTATAGCTCCCAAGGTTCTGGTTCTACACTTATCATTCCTTTCCTGGACAACCAATTGAAGTCTCCTAGCCCACTCCTATTGCCTGCCCAGGTTTGTTGATTTTGATTACTAGTTTGCATCGTTCTATTGGTTATTTGTTTGTTATTAATCTGTCCCACAAGTTATGACTCTGCATATTTGATTGTTATTAAACTGTTTAATAAATTGTAGAACAATTTATGACTGCAGGATGCTGTCACACCGCTGTCTGAAGCAGAAGCAATCGACTTGGTCAAAACTTGTTTTGCATCTGCAACCGAAAGAGATATTTACACTGTAGGTTTCCGGTCTTTTAAATATCCGTCCATTTTATATGAAGCTCATGGAACCAAGTATTTTAATGTGTCGTGGATGTCATACAGGGTGACAGCTTGGAGATTGTTGTCCTGAATGCGGATGGCACCCGGTACGAGTATATGGAGCTGAGGAAGGACTGATGCGTGCCCATAAAAAATTGGCAATTCATATGCTTCACTGTTTGGTGTATTTGGACACTAAGACTAGAATGTCTCTTTTTTTGGGTGTTTAGAATATTTCTGTTTCAGTATTCAATTACAAAAATCGTGACGTGATTGCAGTTGCCTAATCTGAAAATTTCAGATTCAACGTTGATTTATCTGCATTTCTGAGGGCTTCACCGTTGATCTATCTGCATGATCGTTGATCGAATGTTTGATTGTGTACGATCTTATTATATAATGGCATCGGGCTCTCAAAAGCTGTCTTTCGACGCCCCTCCTTTCATCTCGAACCATTGCCTCAATTCCTGTCATAAAAGCCAGTTCAAATGAAGGTTGTTTTTGTGAATGCATAGGTAGAAGCAGCAATACTGAGATTGTTTGCAGTGCTCACCTTGATTCTCTCTCTTGAAGTTGAAATCGAAACTCCCCAACCGGGATGCGGATCGATACTCCACTATCGAGTCTTTTCCCGGTGCAATCCAAAACTCAGCACCATCCACAAGCTGCACGAACACTCGGATATCAATGTGCGACCATTTTGCAATCTCACTCGTCTAATTCGGCAGTCTTCACCATCCCACATTGATATCGATCACTCGCATTCATGCTCACGTTTGTCTGGATGATTGGGTGATTGGTTCCATACTAAATCCCACATTAATCATTCACCCGCACACGCCAATAATGTTACGACACTCGTTTTTTCAATCATGGCATCGAGGGTTTTTGTTCTAAATTCCGGGTTATGGGGTACAACTACCCCTAAAATGGCACTTTTGGTATTCCACTAGAACATAGTCGTCTCTCTTGTCCATAATCCACGGGCGTGAACTTGTCCGGCTTGGTTGACTTAATCTGCAAAATGTGTTCTCAGAATTGAGTTTTGCTGATTTAAGCTGGCATCCTTGGCAAACATGTTTGAAGTGCTTTTACCACTTGGAGAAGTACCTCCAAAGCAGCTTCTCTGCTGACCGGCTTTTTCCTACCCCCATTCTAGTTCCTGTAATTGGTCAGACATTTGATATTATGATTTAGTAATATTTTTCTCCGTAAGTTAAAGGTCTCCTTCAAGGTATTTAGGCTTTTTACCACTGCACCCACTCATCAAACCCAAATAAATTACACACAAATTAATTTAAACTGCATGATCCAAAGCTTCAACTGGGGAAATAGATAAGATTGAACTATGTAGCTCAAGTTGAAGATGGTTCCTCCTATCACTGTCAATTCTCTCTCTCTCTCTCTCTCTCTCTCTCTCTCTCTCTCTCTCTCTCTCTCTCTCTCTCAATTAGATAGTTCTTCAGCCCGACTTCTGGTTTGGACCGTGTGCATTGCTGTAGGCTTTTATTAGGATTCAACGACCAAATCCTTATCTCAAAACCTGCAAGTAGCAACAACGGAGGAATGGCTATGGTGGAAGAGAAGCTGAGCTTCAAGGATATTTTTTTTGTAATAATATTTTTAAATCAAAATGACCGTTGGTCACACACTCAGCGTGAGCAACCCTTTATACAACTCAAACAACCATTAACTGCCAGGTGGCCTTCTTAACTAATTACTTAATTAACCCACTAATAATGATTAAGTCAATCACTAATACAAGTCATATCATTACCCCTCGCTTCAAAAACCACCTTGTCCTCAAGGTTAAAAGACAAAATCTGGAAACTTGACAGTGAAGTCATCATAATCCTCCCATGTAGAGTCATCTGGAGTAAGCCCTTCCCAGTGCACCAACACCTGCACTCCCGCAACATCTCCCTTCTTGTACATCCTGCGATGCAAGTAATCTAAAACTTGCTCAGGCAAAGTAGCAATGGGAATGATTTGTAAACCCAATTTCTTCTTCAAACAGCTGACATGAAAGACTGGATGGATCTTGGTGCCTATTGGTAGTCGCAATTTGTACGCCACCTTTCCAATTGTCTCCAACACCTCAAATGGACCATAGAATTGTGGATGTAGTTTATGGAAAACATGTGAATTCAAAGACTAAAGTTGGTAAGGAATTAGCCTCAGATAAACCATATACACCATTGAGCCCTAGTTTGGTACTGAGGTGATTCTGAAAAAAGTGGTTATCAAAACCAGCTTTTTTATGTTTGGTAAACATTGAGCTTCAGCTTTTTTTCACAATTTTGGGTGAAAAAAAGTCAAAAACACAAAGTTGCAAAACCCAGCTTTTTTCACATCTGTTTCACATAAAAGTTTATCAGACACTATAATACTGATTTTTTTTTTTCAAAAGCACTTTTACAAAAAAGTTTACCAAACACTCTGCAGCTTTATTTCACAGCTCCTTATTCTCACAGCACAACATAAACAGTTTTTTTTTTTCAAAGCACAACAATACCAAACCAGCCCTGAGAACTCTGTTTTAGTTCGATGCTTGTTAGCCTGAGATTTCATCCTATTTCGTGCCCACTCCAAGTTAGATTTTAGGACTGCCAAGATTTTGTCTCTCTTCAATAAAGCTTGCCCGACCACCTCTAACTTAGTTGTGCCCAACTCATATGTAACAATTAGAGGAGGAGGAATGCCATAGACAATTTCAAAGGGAGTGAGTTTAGCTAATGTATGATAGGAGGTATTAAAACTCCATTCAGCCCAAGAGAGCTAATTGACCCATTTCTTAAGTTGATAACTTGTAAAACGTCGCAGGTAAGTTTCAAGGCACCTGTTTAGAACCTCAGTTTGTCCATCACTCTGGGGATGATATCCAGAGTTCATGCTTAACTTGAAACCTTGCAATTTGAAGAACTCTTTCCAAAACAAAGTGAGAAACACTGGGTCTCAATCACTGACTATATTAGTAGGCATTCCATGAAGTTTAAACACATGGTTAACAAATAGTTGTGCCACACTAGTTGCATTATAAGATTGAGACAAGGCAACAAAGTGAGCAAACTTAGAAAGCTTGTCAATCACCACCATGATCACTGTTTTGCCCTTGCTATTTGGTAAACCCAAAATAAAGTCCATACTAACACTGGTCCATATTTGTTAAAGAATTAGGAGAGGTTGAAGTGGAGCTATAGTCTCATACTTGTTTTGTTGACAGATAACACATTTAGACACAAATTTCTTGATATCAAGTTTCATACTAGGCCGATAAAAGCTTCTTTTCACTCTCTGATAAATTTTGAGCACCCCTTGATGCCAGTAGTGGGAGTAGCATGGTGTTCTTCTAATACCTTTAGGGTGCGTTTGTTGCACCAGACTGTCTCGGACTGGACTAGCTGCAGGGACTAAGTTGGACTGGCTTAGACTAGACTAAGCTGGACTAACTTAGTGAAGCGTTTGGTGCAGTGTCGGACTAAGAAGCAGGATAATGAAAACAGGATTATTCACCATATTTGTGTTTGCTTAGACTAGGATTACATTATTGTTCTATTTTAATAGCTCCAATACATGTGTCCAACGCCCTAAAAATTGGAGGGTTTGGAATTGGAATTGGGGTTGGCATAGGTGTAGCAGCATTGAAATTGAAATGGGAGTAACAATCTTACAAATTACTACAAATATTTGGGCACATTGCCCTGAGTTTAATCTCTTGAATTGTTATTGTAATCAATCCACAACTTGCCCTTAAAAGTTGATTTAATTTGTCTTCTTATCACACATTAAACGTCATTAGTCATCAAATACTTATATCAACATAACTTGATCCAAGGATTTCTTAGTCCGACAAATACATCATTCACTAAATTTTCATCCAGGATATTTTACAAAATGCCAGTTAACTATAGTATAGCATTCCAAAGTAGATCTCCATACTTTACAAAATCCTAGTTAACATTAGCCAAAATACGTCATAGTGCAAAGCTAAGTTAGAAGCCATAACCTAAGATTGTACGATTAATAAAATACATCCATGTCTAAGGGCACCACATAATATACTCATCCGCTTGCTTTGTCGCTTAAAAGCCTTTGGACGAACACTTTCTTGAGTCCCGAATTGATTGCCCTGAACACTCCCACATTTTGTGGTTTTTCCAAAATAAGAGTCAATGCATCAATTTGATCCATAGGAGAAAGACCCATTGCTTCAAGTTCGTTAGCTATGTCAGTATGATTTGCAGTACCTTGAACTAAAGCTTCAGTTACCATTTGCATCCTCTTCCCACTTTCAACATAAAATTCTTTCAGTCCACTAATAATTGCCTCGGTTCCATCACTTGAATTTCCCATAGCTCTTTTCCTCTTTCTTTGGCTATTTTCAGATGGGGTGCTTTGTTGGCTTTGTTGGTTCATTGAAGATACAACATTTTCACCTCCAATATCACTTGCACCAACCTGAGCATGACTTTGTTCCTCCATCATTTCAGCAGGGGTTTCGGCTACATTACCCGTAGCCCGATCTTTTCCAAATATATATGCAAATCTATCGTATAGTGGAAAAGGTTTGCTTCTCCATCCATCAGCTTCTTTATTTTTCTAAGATTATATGAACATAGCAAAACTAAAATTTAGCATGCATAACAAATATAGCAGCAAGAATATAACTAATGTATAAATAAAATAGGATATGAACCTGCACATAAGAAAGCCATGCGTCATCACTGTCAACTTCAACGCACTTTTTGACATCATTCCATGCAAATCCACTTGTGTTTATCATGTCAAAGACCAAACTATATGTTTTTTTCCATTTCTTCAACTTTGACTCAATATGTGGAGTTGCCTTTATATTTGAATTAGGACATAAAGCATTGACAGCTTTCGCTATTTCAATCAAAGTACCTTGTTTGAAAGCACCTGTGTCACATCGTTGCTTCCGAGCAACAAAATCCTCAAGAACGGATAGTAATAATTCTTCCTCAAATGCTTCCCATTTACGCCTTCTTCCTTTTGGCTCTTGAGAAGCATTCAAATTATTGTGCTTATCCATACCTAAACAAAAAATATTTGAATGTACTAAAATACAATACAAAGAATCAATTTGCATAATATCCAATCAATTTGCATAATATCCAATCAATTTGCATAATATCCAACATATGCATGATAAAAAGGAAAACTAAAATAAAATCTTATCATTAACACATATAGCTAGTTCGGTTGCTGGTTCCTAATTGCTCTCCACTCATTATACATTTCCTGAGCCATGGCATTCCTCTTTGCAGTCCACTGGTCAGATGTTTCAACACTACCAACATATTCACCTTCTTCTGTATTTTGTCCATCTTCTATTATTGGCACATTCTCCATGGGATCTACAGACATCTCTTGCCTAATAAGATTGTGTAGTAGGCAACAAGCGGTAATTATTCGACCTTGTGTCCTTATCGGATAGAAAGATGGACTCCTTAGTATCCCCCACCTTCCTTTTAGCAAGCCAAAACAACGTTCAATTACATTCCTTGCCTTAGAATGCTTCATGTTAAAATATTCTTCCTTATTAGAAGGTGTTCGTCCTTCCCATTCAAATAAATGATAAGGTATTCCTCTATAGGGTGCAAGGAATCCTTCACCATTTGTATAACCACCATCTACAAGGTAATAATAACCTAATAAAAAAAAAGACCTTATATTAGTATTTTGTAGTTCACAAACAAAACTAGACCTAACTTACAAAGTTGAGACTAACTAATAATCTTACCCGTTGGTACCTTAAAACCATTAGGCCTAGTAATTGCATCATGTAGCACTCTAGAGTCTGATGCGGAACCCTCCCACCCCGGAAACACATATATGAACTGCATATCTCCTGAACATACACCTAATACATTAGTTGCGACTCGACCCTTTCTAGTTCGGTATCTTGGTTTGTCAATTTCAGGTACATGCACATCAATGTGTGTTCCATCTAATGCTCCCAAGCAATTCTAAAAAAAAAAAAAATAAGCTTTTGTTAATTTATACAAAGGGAATGAAGAGTTAAAGCTTAGGGAAAATGAAAATAATTATCAACATACCTTAAAACATCGCCACCTAGGATCTGTAGAATCAATAGGCACAGGTTGAGGGACTTTTAGTAGGATACCTTGTAATCGCAAAATTCCTTGCAATACACTATTGAAATACCTACTTATAGTCTCTCCCGACCTATAAAATCTACCACCAACACTACGAATCTTAGTATGATGTGCTAGTATTTGTAAAGTCATACACACCTGCTCCTCTACAGAGACCAAACCATCCGTTTTTACCCTCCCATCTTGACGAAGTAAGTCACATAATATGCCAAAAGTCCTTCTATCCATTCTCAATTCGTTGACACATTCAACATCAGTATTCCCTATTATACCATTCAGATAACACAAACTAATCTCTCGTCTAACAAGTGAACGGTTAGTCAAGGTGCGTCGTTCAACATGTCTCTGTTTTGCCTTTAGCATCAGCAACACAAGAATCGTACAAATGCAAATCGTCTCTAAATGAGACATCTCTAACAATAAGATCAATAAAAGCTTCCTTCGATCCATATCTATCCAAACAAAAAAAAAAGGAAAAAAATATTAAGGACATTATGCTACTGCATGCTTTCCATCTGGCACAAAGAACAAACCAAATAATATAATCCAGCTATGCTATATCAGCTGATAAAACAACATTACCGCAAATATCAAAAGCAAACTGAAACAAGTACAAAATTTCTAGGTATACTTATACCTAGAAAAACAGAAATCATGGAAAAATAGGTAGGGAAATGACAAGTTGCACTTGAACTAATCAATCGTGCAGTGTTTTAGTTTAAAATACAACTCGGGGTGTAGAGAAGAGGGTTTTAAAAAATATGTACGAAAAATCTAAATGAGAGGTTCAAACAAAACATGTCAAACAAATCTGAATGAGAGCTGTCAGATAATATGAAGCAGAAGATTCGAGCAGTTTTAAACTAGGGATGAAGATTCAAACTCAAGACATTTTCCAAATATCAGTAAAGGAAGTTGCACAACTAGACTAAGAGAAACATATCTTCCAACAGTGCATAAATCATAGCCACTGATAGATTCAGAAATGTTCAAAATATCAGATACATTTCCTAAAAGGTGAAAACAAATGGACAAAGATACAGCTCCTGACCACAAATTTTAGTTCAACCTGGTTTGGACATCACCTTGCAACGTTGCCTGAACATGAGTTTTCAATGACATGCTGTTCTCAAAAGCTTAACTTACTCCGATGTGAAAGAAAGAATGTGTGCAAGTACTGATATTGTACGAATCATGGATGAATATGTAATATAAAATCGATAATAGCTTTTAGATGCTTATAGATGCTTATATCTGGTTATCTTAGTTTCCATTTCCCAGTATTACCGCTACATAGACATCACATAACGTAGAAGCTACATATAAAAGTGCTTTCAGTGTTTTGCTGGACAAAGTGCATTCTAAATCTGCATGCGTTAGTATTGACATTCAAATTCCTTATTCTGTATCTTTGCAGTATAATTATCCTTAACTCAGTCATCATCCCAACTCTACACTGGATATTACCTGATAGATGCCCAGAATATAGTTCTCAAGAGCTCTGCTCATTTGTTGGTACATTGAAATTTTATTCCGTCTTGCGGCATGGACTCGTACAACTCTTTTATGTAAGTATGCAGCCAATTTAAGATCCTCACTTTGTGCATGGATGGCATTCTATTGAATATTTCTTAGTGGCAAAATGGATGAATATGCATTTTTTGTGTAATGTTTTGCCTCATTAAGTTTTGTAATCTTCGTGATATGGCTAAAGAAAGTGTATGTGTCATGTAATATTGGATGTTTAATTCTCTTGTTTCTGATTATTGTACTGGTATGTAATCTTGGTTTGTTTGTTATCTTACAAAATATTTCTTTATCACTATAGATGCCTGAATTACTGAAGGGATTCAATTCCTTTCTCAATTCACGGAATACATAATTTTCATTTATTTATTTTTGCTTTGCAGGTAACTTGGTTCTACCCACTGTACATATTCAGCATTATCCTAAGCAACCTCTGGTACTACCAAATTATCCCCTTTTGCTTAATTGTTTTACCCCTACGTTATTTACTTGATTCTGTTTTAATTACCATAGGTATGAACTGAGCACAGGTAAGGTATACATCTATTTCTTGCAATGCAGAATGTTTAAAGTTCTGATTGGAGTGACAATAGTTTTTAATATATGATATTTTGTTTAAAGTTCTGCATGTCTTGACATTTCCACTTCCCGATGTCTTTCTTTTTCCAATTTCTACTATGTGATTATCCAAATCTACAATTTTATTTTAACTAAAGGTACAATGACATTGCTAAGTATGGATTTTCTGCAATGGGGAGATCCACGCCAACCACATTGGATCCTGTCAGACAAAATGATGTTGGTTTGGAAAGACCTGCTGGCGTAGAAGGGTAATTAACTTATTCTTAAATACAGCTTAAGGTTTTTATTATTGTTATTGTTTTATATATTTATTATTTCAGACATTTCTTGTTGAATAGATATTTATGTATCTCATGAGTTGTGTATGCATCTGTTTAATCTGCAGGGTCATGATTGGTATAGGAGAGCAGGTGTATTCAGTACTTCTTTTGACCTGTTTCTTCCTAGAGGTATAGATATCTTTTATTCTTTATTTATTTGGGTGTATGGATTCATAAAGGGAGGAACAGGATTTAGTTTTCATACTTATTAGACTTAGAGAACGATAGAGAGAGAGGAGTTTATATTCAAATTGCAATATGCTCCATGGCTTATGTGCCACTTTTTGGATGACAGAATCGATGGCTTCTGCAGGTATATGTGACTGGATATATACCATATGTGGGGAAGGCAGTAAATTTTCTGCTTCTGTCCTGGATGTATGCCTATTACTGTTTCGAGTACGTGGTGCATATACCTTTTTGGCTTAATCTAATTTCCTAGATAAGTGTGTGCTAATGCTCCTTTTGAACTCTTTTAGGTACAAATGGAATTTTTCTGAAGTTCGTCTTGAAAAAAGGCTGGATTTCTTTGAATCTAATTGGGCATTTTTTGCTGGTTTTGGTAAATATACAACAATTTATCATATTCACTAAACAAATTAATATAGGAGTACTTGTAAGTTGTATACACGAGTTACCTAGCAAAGGCAATTTTATAACAACAAAGTTGATCCTTAAGCCACTTTGATTTCTTAAGCCGATAACCATTTACCAAAAGTAACATAATTTGCATTCAACAGATGAACATTCATATGGAAATCCAAAATTAAAGCGAACAAATCAAAGCATTATAACTACCAAAACACAAAAGCCAATGTACTTCCGAATCCTAACAACATCAGATTGAACACAAAAGGATGATAAAGTGAAACACTACCCCATTTTCTCAGCTCAATTCTCAACTGCCAAACCCAGTTTCATGTTTCATCTCACTTACATCTGCTTTTGCAGCAGCAAACTCCTAAAATAGGATTTAATCCAAATAAAACCCACATATGATTTCTTAAGCCGACATCCATTTACCAAGGTTGCAGATAACCATTTACCAAGCCGATAACCATTTCTTAAGCCAAATAAAACCCACAAAAGCCAATGTACTTTCGAATCCTAACAACATCATAATCAACATACCCAACATGCTAAGCAGGCTACTTCTACCAAGGTTGCAGATTGACAGTGAATTTTAGTGAAGTTCAGATGCTCTAATCAATCTCAATTTGACCTAAAAATCAAAACCCTAATTTGTTCAAGTGCAGAGGTCTAGGATTCAAAATTTCTCAAACCCAAAACAACAAAATCAAATAAAGTTCAGTAATATCACGATCTGCAAAACAAATGACGAAATAAATCGAAGATTCGAAGTTTACCAGACAACTCGGAGCAGATGAGGGCGAGCAGATGCAGATGAGGAAGACGCAGAGATGAGGGGTGAGGAAGACGACGATGAGCGAGGGCAAGACGACGATGAGGGAAGACGACGATGAGCGACGACAAGGAGGACGAGCAGGAAGTCACCCTCGCGATTTTCTCTGGGCTTACGAGTCCGCCCAATTTTGGGGATCCTGGTTAAGACCTCGTAAGGAGGTGTTTAATCCGAGCGAATCCCACCTAATCTCATTAAACCAAATCCTGCAGCAGACCAAACAAAGGACTATAGTCCAGTCCAGTCCAGTCCTCCTTAATCCTATCAAACAAACGGGCCCTTAGCTCTCTATAGTCTATACACATCCTCTAAGTACCACCTATACACATCCTCCAAGTACCATCTTTCTTTTTAATCAAGACGACTAGAAATGAAAAGGGACTGTGGCTTAGTCTTATAAATCCAGCTTGAAGCAAGTCTTAAGCTGTTTTCTCAATCTTAGATTTCTACGAAGGCCCATAGTGATAAGGCCTGATATTGGGTGGTTTTGAACCAAGGAGCAATGGTATGTGATGACCATGAATTTGAGCTGGAAGCAAGGTAGTAAGATCAGAAAAAATGTCTTCAAACTTGCCCAATATTGTTTACAATTCTGATAACTAATGGTTAGTTAGATTAGAGGCTTCCATATTACATTCAGGTAATGAATACAACATACCCAAATTGGAATCAGAAATTTCCTTATCAAGCTGTTGTAAACCTTATTCTTTACCAGAGGTTTAGGAGGAGCACTGTGATGTAGTTTATATAAATTGGACCCTTTCTTTAACTCCAAGGTAAGCAATTGGAAGTCCCCAAGCATTGGACTCACAGTTGATAGGCATTGAACTCCTAATAAAATGTCACACCCTCCCAAGGGTATAGAGAACACATTAGTAACATAATCATAGCCCCCAAGTGACAAGGGTACCTCCTTGTGACAACAACTGCCCTTGATTTTACCTCCATTAGCTATTATCACTTCAAATTGTTGATCACTCTAGAGTCTAGCAAGATTCTCACAAGGTGATTCCTTACTACTCCATCTGTAATAATTCAAGGTCTAGATCAAGTTGCTCATTTTTCTCACTTACATCTTCCTGCACTATGTCAAGCATAAGGAGTTGTTTATGTGGATATTTGTGACCTCGAACCCATTTATCTTCACAAAACCAACACTCTCCCCGTTCTCTCTTTCTCTGAACCTTTTCAGGTGTGAGCTTCTTGTAAGGAAGGACTTTAGGCCTAGGTGCAGTTAACTGAGGCAATAATTGGAGCTGTGGTTTGTGGAAGGCTACATGCTTACCATTAAGAGGCTTCAAATCATTCAATTTAGCATCTAATTGAAGAGCAATGGATATGGCCTCATGCACAGTAGTAGGTCTTAATAGTTTAACATCATATTTCAATTCTCGTTTTAAACCGCCTAGAAAACAACTTTTCAACATAACTGGACCAACATCACCATATCTAGTAGCAAGCTTATGAAAACAATGGAGTCATTTAGAATAACTGATTGAGAAGTTTGAAAAGGGCCTCTATACTATCTTTAAATTCAGTAGGGCCAAATTCTTGGCAAAATGCCTGTGTAAACTCTGGCCAAGAAGGGGTAGTCTGCAAGTAATTTCGCCAACGGAACCATTGTAAGGCCTCATTGTCAAAATGGAAGGAAATAGTGACCACCTTCTAATGCTCAAGACTGGAGTAGTATGAGAAATATTGTTTAGCCTTATAGATCCACGCTAATGAATCATCCCCTTCGTTGAAGCGAAGGAAATCTAGCCTTTGCTGCCATTGAGGGTGAGGAGTGAAACCACCACCATTGTAATGATCACGGCGAGCATGGCGTGGCGTTTCTAGGTTGTGATAGTCAGTATCATCAGTGAGGATGTGTGGTAGGGCAATGGGATTTAGTGGTTGCACGACTAGATCTGAAGTTTGGTCGCCATCACCAAAAAAATACTGCTTGTGACGAAATTGTTCAAGAAAAGATTGAAGTCGGAGATCCCAAGATGCCAAGGAGGAAGCATTGTTAGCTGAAATGGTTGTCTGAATGGTTTGAGGCAATTTGGAAATAAGGGCTTCAACATGACTCATACGAGCATTCATGGCAGAGAGTTAGTAATTGTTGGTGTGGTGGGGCATGCAAGAGGGAAACCAGGATCGATTGGCTAATACCAATGTTAGGATTTAACTACCAAATCTTTATCTCAAAACCTACAAGTAGCAACAAAGGAGGAATGGCTATGGTGGAAAAGAAGCTGAGCTTCAAGGATATATTTTTTTTTTTTTGTAATAATATTTTTAATTCAAAATAACCGTTGGCCACCCCCTTAGTGTGAGCAACCCCTTATACAACTCAAGTAACCATTAACTGCCAGATGGCCTTCTTAACAAATTAATGAAAATAGTAACTTATTACTTAATTAACCCACTAATAGTGATTAAGTCAATCACTAATACAAGTCATATTAGCTTTTGGGTCTCAACATCACATGGCGCATCTCTATAAGAATTTTTCACTTTTGCTTTCTACTATCCATTGTGAGCAAGCAATTGCAGACTTGGTACTTTCAAATATGTTACGTAAGTAGACAATTGCAAACTTGTACTTTCAAATATGTTACGTAAGTAGAATATTTAACTTTTAAATTTGATTAAGAACAAACTTGCACTTTCAAGTATTTCCTTGAGAGATGTAAGGTAAGTCTTGCAGTTTCTCTTGTAATGTTCTTCTTTCATATAATGCAAACATGTTTCCTTAGGGCTCATTTAGTATAAAAGATTGGATTGTAAATCACGTTCTTAATTCAAGACATATTGAAGGTAGATAAGAATGACAAGTCTTCGCTTTTAATTAGAATAAGATAATTTCTCCTTCTAATTCTCTCATTTTTTGAGAGGAGTGGAAGGGATGAGTTTTTTGAGTAATCATTTTCCTATCCTTAAGTTGGTCTCAATTTCTAGTTTGTTCTTGCAACATACCTTAAAAATGGTTTCCGTTCTATTCCAATCTAATTATGTATACCGAACGAAGCCTTAGTCTTTTTTTTTTTTTATCCTTAGCAAACAAACATGTTTAGTAGCTCACTGGGAGTGTCGTATGTCTTTTTCATGCTTTAATTCATGATGAACTATGAGAATGAATCAGACAAGGACGCAAGATTGTAGTCCTTGAAAGGAGTATGTACTGATGCACTAGAGCTTCTTTGACCATTTTAGTCTTGATTGCAGTTTTTGACGTAAAACCAATTTAATTCAGACCATGCCTCCCTACAATTAAGTACCAAACTCATCATTGTTATATATCTTCCTTGCTCATTCAAAAAATATAAATAAATATCACTAGATCAAAGACTAGTCGGTTAAATTCGATTCAAATAATGTATTTTACAATTTAGAGACAACTCTTAAATTTTGATCCAAGGATAAAAATCCTTGTAATTGATAGCGTTAACTACATTTTACACTCTTCATGTTTGATGTGATTTTTAATATGGGTCATGAATTTTCAGTATTATCATATTGCATCTTAAGGTACTAAAATTTTATCAATCTCTACCCTTGGTATGATTCATTGTATAATATTCAATAAATTGATAACTTCGTGAGCTTGGGACCCTAATGCACGTGGTAACGTGTAAGCCACACTTGCACTACATTGGCAAAAAACTTATCAATTTAATAGATGATTGGATAATCTCCAAATGAGGTGTCAAAGGTGAATTTGAACCACATTATTCTTAGTCTATTGAGAGACTAAGCCCAACCGCTCTCTCTTAGTTAGATAATAAGGAAAACTAATGAAAAATGTTTGAAAAGAAAACTTTGAGTTTTAACGATAAGGACAAAAATAAAGGGTAAAGTGAATAGTACTAGGATTGATTTTTTAATGTAAAAATGTAGTTTTTCGTTAAAGTGAACAATACCAGGAGCTTTTCGTTAAAGTTTCCTAGATAATATTGATTGTTTAAAAAAAAAAAAAATGATTGGACCATTTCCAAGAAGGTGTTTGAAATATAAAATTTAGATATGAAGGCTTATGTGACACTTTAATCTTTTCTTTAAATTTTATTCTTCACTGAAATATAAACTATTATTTATTATACATTATTTACCATTCATAATTGTAATAAGTATTTTAAAAACAAAAAATGTTAAAAAAATGATGAAAAACATTTATTAATCATTAAAAATAAATTTGAAGTGGCTTTCAAATTTGACAGTAACCCTCTTTGATGTCAATCCACATCATGTCGTATAAAAATTGACATTTCGGTTGGAAAACACAAATATTAGCTTTTTTATTGTTATTGCTAATGTGAATTTTTTGACTCTATATTTGTAGATGCTTTTAGAGGTTCAAAAAGATAAAAAAATGTAAATTAATACAATTTTAGAATAGTACAACGTGAGAAAATAGAATTTGATGACCGATTTTGAAAATCACCGCAAATCTACAGAGTACAAAATGTAGTTAGCCCTAGTTGATCGCGAAAGAGTAAGCGTTTGATTATAATAAACATATTATTTGTGGGACGATCAAGTAAATTGGCCATTTTATAAACCCAAAGCGGGAAGAAGAAAGACACCACCTCTACCATTTGAAAAATAAAAACCCGACTTCTGCGACAAGCTTTACCAAAATCCCCCTCCAATGGCTCGAAACAAGGTAACAAAACCTCCTCAATTCTTCTTCGTTCTGAAAAATTCTCCAACTAAAAAGCTACTGGCTTTGTTTCCACTCTCCAAATTTCTCATTCCATTTTTCGTTTCGTTTTTCTTCTTCTTGGGGTTCCATTTGATTTGGTCCCTTTTTTATACTCCAAAACTCGGAAAAAACACTCAATTTTCCAGTTTCATATGATACCCAAGTTGTTATTTTCTGCATATGGATTAGGGTTTTGAGGATGCTTAAATTTGGGTAATTTTTGTCAGATTTTAATCTAACAGTTTTTATTTTTATGTATTTGGGGATAGGATGCTATGGTTTTGTTGATTGATGTTAGCCCGTCGATGCACAAAGCTCTTCCGGAGATTGAAAAAGTTTGCTCTATGCTAATAGAGAAGAAGGTAAATGGTTAATTTTTATTGGTTTTAGAAATTTAGAGTAATGGTGCTTTTACAAAGCTGATCGAATTTTCTGTATTTGGCAGTTGATTTACAATAAATATGATGAAGTAGGAGTTGTATTGTTCGGAACCGAAGGTACCCTTTTAGCTTTCTAATAATTAGTTGCAGCAATTACATCATTGTGCTTAATTTTTCTGTGATCTCTAGTTGTTATTTGGCTCTAAATTTAGCTTTTACAGTAACTATTCTAGTAGCATTACTTATTAGTGGTGCTGTTTCATCTCACAGACACTGAAAACGAACTGACAACGGAAGTGGGTGGATACGAGCATGTAGTGGTTTTACAAAATATCAAAGTTGTTGATGGGCATCTTGTTGAAACTCTTCAACAACTCCCACGAGGAACTCATGCGGGTGATTGTATCCTTTTAACTTCTAGTTTTTTTTGGTTGTTGGAAATAGCCTTAGTGTGTGAAAACTTTATTAGCTGCAATTTCTTCTTGGCCTGAACCTTCTGCTGAAAAATTTTCTATTCCTACTTTTGTCCTGCTGTGATTTAAAATATTTATAATTTTCTCATAATCTTTTTTTCACATTCCTTCCATTTGCAATTTCTTTTCTCTAGTTGAATTTTTTCAATAAGAGTTTTGCTGAACTTTTTACATACTCGCACACTAATTATATTCTGTCAGAAAGCATACATTTTCAGGATACATTCTCTCTTTAGTTTGATGAATTTCTTGTCATTTTCATTCGAATCTAAAGGGAGATGCCTTTTAGTATAACTGCATAATCTGTATAATGGCCTACTGAGAGATGGAAAGTTTGGAAGTGCTTAATTATGTGATCATTTTCACGTCCCTGGTGCCTTGACTTTCTGGATAGTTCTTGACGCCATAATTGTTGGGTTGGATATGCTAATTAAGAAATATGGAGAAACATACAAAGGAAAGAAACGCCTTTGTCTGATTACAAATGCTCAATTTCCTACTAAATTTCCACAAGAGGGTACTAAAGAAGAACAAGTCACCACCATTGCCGGTCACATGAATAAACATGGTATGAGAATGGAAAGTATAGTTGTGAGAGGAAAGCTTACTGGGGAAGCTGATAAAAACATAATGGATGAGAATGATAATCTATTGGGTATATTTTCAAAGAAAACATGTGCAAAGTTGGTACATGTTGAGAGTCCAACTTCATTGCTAGGTGCTCTTAGAACTCGAAAGATATCTCCAGTTACAATATTCAGGGGTGATCTTGAGCTTAGCCCCAAAATGAAGATTAAGGTGAGAGCTTTTATGTTTTATCAAAGTAATTCAATGAAGTCTTTTTATCCCGTTGTGCAGAATTATTGTCACACTGCTATTGTGCATGCCAATAAAGTTTTGTGACCTTCACACCTAAGTAATTGCATGAGTTAGAAGTGGATTGTTGAACCACTGTCTACGGCAGAACAGTCAGACCTAAGTAGGCCTATATGTTGATCTACACAAGGGCCTAGTTTCTGGTGGTGGAGCATGTTATGTTCCATTGGCATGAGAGTCAATCTACTAGCTGGTACTCGTAAGCCTGTGCTTGGGTACCCTGTATTGCACATGAAAATGACAGCACCAAAATTTGAATGTTGAGCTTCAGCGACTCATTTCACATGTTACATTGGGACTATGGGTACTTTTTGAGTATATGTTCTGGATGACAGAATTGAATGAACATACAATTGTAACTTTTCTCATCTTAAAGCTTGATGTTGATTCTTGCGTGTCTTAAGTTAACCAATTATATATTTCTTGTATGTTGGTTTTCAATTAATATCATATAGACCGGAGGATAGTGTATTATAAGTTTAGAATTTATTTTTCCAAGAAATTATAATATGTTTGAGAATTTTTTTATGTGTATTGTTTACACATTTAATGGTAAACAGGTATGGGTTTACAAGAAAACATCGGAAGAGAAGTTTCCCACTCTGAAGAAATATTCTGAGAAAGCGCCTCCAACAGATAGATTTGCTACACATGAAGTCAAGGTGGACTTTGAGTATAAAAGTGTTGAAGATCCTAGTAAAGTTGTGCCTCCTGACCAGAGGATTAAAGGTTATCGTTATGGCCCTCAGGTTATTCCCATATCATCTGCTGAATGGGATGCTGTCAAGTTCAAGCCAGAAAAGAGTGTGAAACTTCTGGGATTTTCTGATGCTAAAAATATAATGCGGTAAATTTTTATCTGTTTTAATTTGTCCTTGAATATCAATTGAAATGACAATATTTTTGATATTTTCTTTTCCATTTTTTTGGGGTTCCTGCCCTATGCATAAACATAAATCAAAAGACATTATTACATGAAAGATGTCAATATTTTCATCCCTGAGCCGGGTAATAGAAGGGCCATTCTTGCTGTTTCTGCCCTAGCAAGAGCTATGAAAGATATGAATAAGGTGGCAATTCTGCGCTGTGTTTGGAGACAAGGACAAGGAAATGTTGTTGTGGGGGTCTTAACACCTAATGTCTCGGACAATGACAATATCGTGAGTCTCAAGTCTCAGTATCCATTTTCAGACTGCTTAAAATACCTTTTCGTTTCATGGTTTCCTATTAATTCTGAATGGTTAATTGTATTTATGGGCAGCCTGATTCATTTTACTTCAATGTACTCCCTTTTGCTGAGGATGTTAGGGAGTTTCAATTCCCATCTTTCAGTAACTTCCCAGAATCGTGGCAGCCAAGTGAACAACAGCAAGAGGCTGCAGATGACCTTGTCAAGATGCTTGACCTTGCACCACCTGGCAAAGAGGAGGCTCTCCTGCCTAGCTTAACCCCAAATCCTGTCCTTGAGGTACTTAGTAATGCAATTTTGTCCATTTCAGGTGCTCCTTTCCCTTTGTGGAAATTTTTGAAGAGCTTTAGGGGCTATACAGTATGATTTCTAAAAGAGAAATTGTTTAAAGATGATAATGTGTCTCGCGCACACAAACGAGCACCGGCCACAACGGCTGGAAACTATGACCAATAGAGTCATGACTACTATTTTGCTTGATTAGTCCCTTGCATGACTCTTCTTCACACTGATTTCGGGCTTCCTGGTGTTATTTCCCTTGTTATACATTATGGTTTTTCAGATGAAAACCATTGCAGATTTTGCCCTTTTTTTTCAGCGCTTTTATCGTCACCTTGAGTTGAAGTCAAGGCAACCAGATGCAGTTGTACCTCCACTTGATGAAACTCTTAGGACGATTACTGAACCTGATAAAGAGCTTGTTTCTCAAAACAAGTCTATTATTGATGTCTTTCATAGCCGTTTTGAGCTCAAAGAGAACCCAAAGGTCATTACTCATTATCATCCAGTCAGTTTATATATTTTTGGCAATCCTACCACAGAAATCAAGTTTTATGTGTAACTGGTTTTCAGCTGAAGAAATCAAGTAGGCGATTTTTGCGAGATAAACCATCTGGGTCAAAGGAGGTAGAGGATCATCTTAGCATTACCGATGGACCTAGTAAGGTTGAGAAAATTGGGGACGCTAATCCTGTCCAGGATTTTGAAGCTATGATCAGTCGTAGAGATAGCCCAAAATGGGTTGGTAAAGCAATTAAGGATATGAAAAACAAAATACACGACTTAGTAGAGGACTCTTTTGAAGGGGATAATTATTCAAAGGCACTGGAATGTTTAATTGTCCTCCGCAAGGGTTGTATCCTAGAGCAGGTATGCCCCTTTCTCTCTCATACAAAGTGGAGCTCGTCTTATCTTTGCTGCCATGATTTCCCTCTTAACCTTTTTCTTGTGGAAAAGGACTTTCCTCTTCCCCTAAAAGAAAATAGTACGTGGTTACATCTCTTCATACCTGTCTTATTGACAATAACGAGTCACAGATTGGTGCATGTCTACTTCTGAGTAGAATGGTAAATTATAAAGAAATGTAAAGGAAGACATGTTAAATTGTGATTTACCCCACCTCAGCTTGTAAGGAGGAATGGCTCCTAATGCTCAAGGAGTCACTAGTCAGACACATATTTCACAATGGATGTCAGTACATAGGGGCAAACCTTCGCAGAGTTCTTTCACTTTATATTTAAAGGCCAATTGAAACTAATGTTGTTTCAAATTTACGCCAATTGTCTAGTTAGTTTTGTTTTACAGGTTTGACAACTGTGGTTTATACCTAACAATTGCATATTTAACTTCCGAAAGTTTGTCCTCTGCAGGAACCAAAAGAGTTCAACGATTTCCTGCGCAATCTATGTAAATTCTGCGAGGAGAAAGCCCTTGGCAGTTTCTGTGGATTTCTTGCATCCAAGGAGCTCACGTTGATTTCCAAGAGAGAAGCTATAGACAGGTTACAAATTCCTGTGCTCTTTCCAGTTTTCGCAGTGCATGGTTTCAAGTCATTAACAGTTTTTGTATCGTTTTCGTTACTTTGGCAGCCACTAATTTGATCTTTGTTTCTACATGTTTCACAAAATAGTGAAGTTACGGATGACGAAGCTAAAAGTTTTCTGGTCAAATCAGAGGCAAAATTGGAAGCAATGATTGAGTGATGTAATTGGTGTCTTGTGCTGTATTTGAGATATTTGATAAGAAATACATAAATGAACATAAACCCTAAATCCCTAATTTTGTTTAAGACAAAGGGATTGATCTGTAAAATAACTTGCAATACAAAGTTTGGCTGCCTATTAAGTTTCATACCCTTTTCTTGTTCTGCATATCTCGTTTATTTTTGTTCCTTGATTCTCTTTTAATTTATTGAATTTGAAGACTATAAATAAAGAGTGAAAATCGTTTTCCTTCTTTAATTTATAAACCCAATGGAATCGCAACTCATTAATCATAACTTTCCTCTTTTCTTTAAAGAAGGGAAAATTGGAACTTAAAGAAAATTTCAACCTTAGAGAATCGTTTCTTTCGCCTAAATTTGTAGGAAAGTTTGAGTTTTGTTTCCCTTAGAGTCATGGGGAAAACTCTATAGGCTAGAGACTCACATCCTTCACCTATACACACACACACACAACATTGTTTAACCATCCTTCATCTACCCTTTCTTTCGCTCAGTTCAGATTTTTTAAGTTTTTGATCATCGAATCCATGGCTTTCGTAAAAATTGCCGTCATATTCTTCTTCTTCTCAATGGCATTGACTCTTTCTAAAGGCTACATCGATTTTGGTAATTTCTATTAACGTACAAAAGTTCGAATATCTCTTACCGTAATTTAATGTAAACTATATCTTGTATAAAAAAATCCTTCGTAAAATCGTAAGTTGATGAACATTGAATCTTTCTGACAAATTAATCAGATTTTATTAATTGATTTATATATTTATTAATAATTCTATTAACATGCAGAACATGCATGCATTCGTAAAAACGTTCACATAGAGCAAGCAGTCCAAGATTCAGAGCCGCCAGATGATCGAATCTCCGGTTACTCGGACGAGATCAAGGTCAGCAGAACGTCACCAAATCCGAGTTCGACCGGAGGAGCTTCTCACGATCGATCTGCAGGATTACCGAGTTGCTATTTGCGGTGGCTCTGTTGATAGTTAAGTTGTTTTCAAATTTCCTTGGCTGTCATTGTATTGTCTTATATGACAAGTGTAAGGTCTAGATCCATTTACTTTTGTAGGTCTCGTATGTCCTTGTATTAGAGACGTATTGATGACCTACTATGTATGGTTAAGATTGGATTCAGTGCCTAAGGGAATGTAAGGGAATGTTGGCTATATGCTGTGCAATGATCAGAGCAGCCGCAATCATCAATATTTGCAAAAGTTTCTCTTGAAGAAAGCATCAAGTTTTTTCCCTTCTTTCCTTCATATTTCAAAACTAAACTAGAAATTAAACACTCAAGTCCTAAAATTTATCACGCTCAGCCGTAGGACCTGAATTTATAACCACTCTTTCCTTGCCGTCATCTTTGCATTTTTTTTAGAAAAGATTACTTTTAGTGTAATTTTTGCATTTTATTTTGCTCCTGAATGTTTTATGATTCATTCGAATTTAAATGTCACTCGATTTTGCCACTTAGTATTACGATTTAGTGATATTCTTTTTCACTTGTAAATGAAGGGTCTTAGGTTTAATTCTCACGAAAGGCGAAGTTACCATATTATTATGGTAAATCTATTGTAAGGTTTAGCCCACCTCCCATCCCAACTCTTAGTGTTGATACTATCGTTTATTCAAAAAAAATGTCACTCGATTTCAATTTTGTGTAAAATTTTGGTTGAATTAATAATTCAATTTTTTTTTAGGTAGCGCTATAGATAGTTAGTTGTAGGCTGGAGAGGAATCCGTGGGTATTGAACCCGTAACAAGTTGCATAGGTATGATTGCTTTCCGCCACTGCAGTAAAACAACATTCATGAATCAATTACCAAATGTTTGGTGCAATTTATGTAGAGTTGGATTTTACTTGGTTTTGACTTCTTGTTAGTTCAATTGAATATGTAGGACTCCCGTGCGAGGACAAACCGGTGAACCTACCAGCTGGAGAGCAGTTCATTCCAGGTGAGTTTGAAGCGATATTATGCTCATTACAAGCCACATTCTCTTGCCAAACAATCCGGCACGTTAATGTTGTCAAATTGTTAGTATAAATCCTTACTTTGGTGGGTACTGGATACTTATCGAATGTGCGGTACAAATTCACAGCCAGGCAATGTAACATGCCAGATATAACCCCTTTAAAAATGCTGCCTATGTTTCCAAGGTTCAATAAATTAAGCCTATTTTTAATGATTGAGTTGCAGAGTTCAAGTGTTTGAATCATCTTCATTTTGTTCCGGTGTTGGTCGATGGGGATACAGTGGTTTCAGACTCCTTTGCAATATTGCTGGTTAGTGTAGTTTGTTGGGAAATGGATCATCTGTTTCCAGTTTTTAAAGGTTTACTTGTGCCTCTAATTGTTCTGTTATTTGGGTACAATGTGCTTATAAGGAGTTGTGCTACTCCCCATATTTCTAATTAGTTTTTGTGGGACTTCCAACTTCCTTCATTAATAGCCCGTTGGGTGCAACTACCAAAGATTGCTAGTTATTGATGCTCACACTCGTTATTTCTTTTCTCATATGTAGCCCTCGAGGCGTTGCTGAAACGATTTTGATAGCAGATACGCCACAGGAGATGTCGTGTATATGGTCTCTAATCTGAACACTCAGTGATTCTTATTTACATTTCTTTAACTGCAATCTTATCTTAATTCTTTTAGTTTGAACAAATCTGAACCAGCAAACTGCTTCTAACCCAAGACTTTGTTGGATGACATCAATAGTGTCAATTTGATATCTCCACGATGCTTGGATGTCTATGTACATGGAATAGAGCTTTCTTTTCCTTTTTTTTTCTCTTCACAAAATCGTTTTGTCGCCCAATGGAACTCGTTTTATCACCCATTTGACCTCTTTAGAGTATAACTAACCAATTAAAGGGGTTTAATTGCAGGCTGACGTGTTCTTAGCCCCACAGATAGTTGTAGCTACCACAAGGTTTAATATTAACATGGTAAAATCTTTCCACTTATTTATTTGCCAGCTTTATATTTTGTACATTTGAGTACCAGTAGTTTCACTCCGCTCTTTGTTCGTTGTATATGTGCGTATATGTCTGTTAGAAACACAACTTTTGGGGCAACTCTTAACTGTTTCTATAGTTATTTCCCCCCTCTAAAAGAATCGTTTCGCACCACTTTCTTCAGTATCAGCCAACATTATACTTATTTGGGTCCATAACGTTTGCAACATTATTTTTTTTGGTACAGTCCAAGTTCCCCACTTTAAGTAGGCTGCATGAATCACACAAGATTTTACCAGAATTCGAAGCTTCATTACCAGAAAGGCAACCTGATGCTGTGCATTAAGTCTTGAACTTCACCGCCATATTACTAGCAGCAGGTTGATATTTATTGCTTTATCTATACTGGCATTTGTGTTATCATACCAAAATAAAATCAAACTTGAAACATTGGTTGCTTCTGTCGTAAGAGTATGAGTATAATTCTTACAAGTATTGGGATAATTGATATTATAAAGAAGTCTAAATCATGTTGACAAGAGTTAATCCAATCATATTGGTATATTGAGGACTCTTGTGTTTGCTCATTTATAGGACTCATACTAATATAAGGAATGCAATCTTGTATTCCTTGTAGGATTGTAATAGGGCAATCTATGTTTAGTATAAAAACATAAGCCACTGCTCTGACAAAATATACACTCAATATTGAACTAAGATCTATTGTTAGTTTGAGAACTTTTGGTTTTGCAAGAGAGGAGAAGGTGCATTGTTTGAAGTCTGATTTGGCTTCTTCTTCTACTGCTTTTTACGGGTTAGTTTGTCATTATGTTTATCGAATTGTGATTTTAGTACTTGTATAAATTTGTGGTTCATGAGCATAATCTCTTAACTTTTATTTTTGATAAGTTTAATCTTACATGTGGTATCAGAGCCTAAGATTTTGTTCTTGAATTCAAATTGAAAGTATTAAATTTAAAGAGCGAAAGACGTGATGGTAATTTAGCATGGGTCAAGCTTAGTTTGTGAGAAAATCTATAGGGCTTGAATTAAGTTTGTTGTAAACATATCATTTTTGCCACGTTACAGTTTTGTAATTTTTGCAGTTGTTGCCAAACGAATGATGGCTAAGTGTTGAATTCAATTTGATAGAATTGATCTATTAATTTTGTACGGCTATTAATTTTTCTTCTGTGAATTTGGTTCCATGATAATCAATTTTTATAATATTAATCAAGGATTCATAAGGTGGTTATGGAATGTGAGCACATGAGCTATTGTTGTTGTCAATTATCCGTGGCTTTTCGTGGGTCTAATCGGTTTGAATTAATGAATGTGATACTAAAGATGTGCATATAAAATATGCCTTGTACAGACCAAATATAAGTACGATAAAAGGAAGATGAAATCTTGATTTGGAGACATTATTAAGTTGTTTGTTTGTGCAAGAGATATTAACGTTCATAATTTGTCTTTTATTTATTTATGAGAATTTGTGTTGACGGGATTCTGGCCGATAACTTTGATGATGATATTGGTTCGGCGAACTTATAACAATGGAGATATACTTCGATAATCTGCAATAGCGGGGGATCCACGTGAATCTAGAATGATGGCAATCCGCATAGATAGTTCTCAAGCATTGATGGATAGTTTGTTTTGTTGATGCGGAGTCGAGGAATCTCAGTTGGGTTGACGAATATAGGTCCAGTGATACATCCGGGTAACTCAGTTCACTGTTTCATGCATGATTAAATGTTCTCCATATGCATGATTATAGTGTGATGAGTTGGAGCATAATGAATTAGGGCTTTTGCTATTTCGAGTATGCTTGTTTATTTATATATATTGTGAAGGCATGATTAAACTCAAAATCCCTATAGATGCCAACTTGTGATTTATGGAATCATCTTTTGTTGCATAAATAAAATAGTGTAGGTCTATATATTCTCTTTTATTAAAGAGTCTATGGTTATGCATTGTTTCATGTATGAATCTTGATATAAATTGCGGGGAGTGGCACATGCACATCTTATTGTCAATTTTTGATTTTCAATTGGTTTGATTTATATCAAGTTTAGGTTGGAATGGATTTGACTACATATCATATGCCAGTCGGCAGGTATTATAAAGCAACAAATACAAATGCATATATAAAGTGGATACCAATTGCTTTGTGATTTATATATAATAGCATATATGAATGAAATCTGTATGCATATGGAGATAGCATTTGTGCATTAATTGTTTAAAAAAAATAAAATTCTCATGATATCTCCATGTTTGATTCGGCATACAACTTTGGCATTTGATTAATTACAAGATCAATAAGAGTTTTGCATTGCTTAATTTTCTTGTAATAAAGCAAAGATAAATATGTGAGCATCCATAAATTTTTCGAATATCAATTACTGTGAATACGTCAATTGGTTTTTGGGTTTTATGCTAACATTAGTTTGGGATGGAATTTGAGGCTTACGGTATTATTACAGTTTTAAGTATGTGACATATTGCTTTATCGATTTGTGCATAGACATTGTAATTATGGGCATGCGGTTTTATCTCTATATCAAACAGAACTTGCATAAGTTTCTTTGCATATTGATGCATGCATACAAGAAAATATATGAACAGATGAATGAACATATGTATGTGAAATATGTTTTTGGCTGGAATCGTTATGGTGCATATATGGCGGATCTGTATACAATGGTGTATTTTGGGTTTTATTTTGTAGTGATATTATTTTCATTAGTTGACCCAAATTAGATTTTGTGGTGATATATATTGATCTTAGCCTTAATATTTTACTTGTATGATTATATAGGTCAAGTTATAAATTTTGAGACTTAGCTTGTGCCATCTATATATAGGGATGATAAACAAATTAGCTTATGTGAGCTGTTGTCTATATTTTTGTACAACACAAATTGACATTGCCGAATGCATATTGATTTAATTTTGAATTCATAAGAAAGCCTGTGCTTCTTGTATTGTGAAAATTATGGAGTTTAAGATGCATGCTTATTGTATATGTATATTTGTGATTTCATTTATGATGCATGCTTCCGCTATTATGTTTTGGTTGAAATCACAAATAGGGAGGAAGATGAACTTTGAGTTGTCTAGAAGATATAGTGGTCTTGATTATCTCGTTTTAATCAAGACATATTGTTGTGATATATATCTAGACATTATCAAAATTTGGTTGATCTTGCTCGATGGATATTGAACTAGTTAGGATCAAATTGAATGCAAAAATATTGTGCTTGCTATTCTGATTTTGATCGTCGTTGAAATTGGTAATTTTGGGTTTATGTGAGATAAGTTTTTCCGAATGGATTGTGACTATCTTTTGATACATAGACAATTTGCATAATGGTTTAGGTGTATATGACTAAACTGAGATTATGCAATTGGTGAGGAATCGGGAACCAATTGGTTCATATCTCTGGTTTCTTTATTGGTTGTGTAGTACATTCTGCTTATGCTTAAGTGGGAGAATCATATGTTAGAATGTAAGCATAAGGCTAAGAGTTAGGCCGGCCATTATAATTCATTTGGTTGAATTATTTGTGTTACTTAATTTGTTTAAGTAATGAGAAGGATCCTATATATCGGTTAGCATTCAAAAGGAAACGAATTTGGTTTCCATATGAATTTTGATTCGTCATTCATTGTATTGGAATGATTTTTTAGTTAATATAGTTGCTATACCACATCTTTTACTTAACTTGGTTGTGTTAAGTATGGCCTCGATAAGTGGGAGCAAATTGGTTTGGTTTTGCTATATTGGTTCACATAATTACAAAGTGCAAAATAAGTATGTTGTGACTTTTGAGTTAATTCTGTGATGTAACAGAAATGATTCTTAAGTTCAATACTTTAAAATGCATAGGTAAGTTGTATGTGAGGTTAAACTTTTGTTATCCAAAAGATTTGGTGATCACTTCTATGAATATGATGAAGCTGTTGATTGGATCATAACTGTGCTATTCATACAATTATGAATAATTTTAAGTTAACAGCCTACTGTCAAGAATGTTTGGTATTTTTGATATAAATTTTGGGCTATATGAGTGAGAGTAGACGTCTTGGTTTACTTTTGAGCTTAGATACATTGCTATGAACATGAACTGGACATTGTGATTTGTAAGTTAAATCTGTATTTTGTGTTGCAGAGGCAATTATAAATTCATTGTTTTGGTATATGTAAGTGTGTTGATGAATGACTTATGCGATCACCTTTATAATAATTTGAGATGATTTTTGATTGTGATGAATCATACTCAAGTGGGAGAATGTAAGAGTATGAGTATGATTCTTACAAGTCTTGGGAAAATTGATATTATAAAGAAGTCTAAATCATGTTAACAAGAGTTAATCCAATCATATTGGTATATTGAGGACTCTTGTGTTTGCTCGTTTATAGGACTCATACTGATATAAGGAATGCAATCTTGTATTCCTTGTAGGATTGTAATAGGGCAATCTATGTTTAGTATAAAAACATAAGCCACTGCTCTGATAAAATATACGCTCAATATTGAACTAAGATCTATTGTTATTTTGAGTACTTTTGGTTTTGCAAGAAAGGAAAAGGTACACTGTTTGAAGTTTGATTTGGCTTCTTCTTCTACTGCTTTTTACGGGTTAGTTTGTCATTATGTTTATCGAATTGTGATTTTAGTACTTGTATAAATTTGTGGTTCATGAGCATGATCTCTTCACTCTTATTTTTGATAAGTTTAGTCTTACATTTGTAACAATTGCATCGGTCGATCGTGGTTGTGCTGGTCGTTTGTGTAACAATGATATGTCAATTGTTTCTATTTCTTTGTAAGAGACCATCACTTGAATTCTTCGTATGATCAAATGTATTGGTATGAACTGAAAGAACGTAAATATCTATTTCCGAAAGGTTAATTCTAGGGAGACCAAAATTTAGGCCAAATTTGCAAATTAAATGATGTGTCATCAATAGGAAGTAAGCATGTTAATCAATGCTTAAGTAATAATCCAATTATCAACAACCACATCATTTGTTTACAAATTTGGTTTAAAAATTTGGTCTCCCTAGCATTATCCTTTTCAAAATCAAACAAAATACCTAAACATACAAACAAATTCAACCATCCCATTCTTTAGTACAACTTCAGTCTCTCTCTAACTCCTGCATTCTAGCTTGTCACCTTTGTAAAGTTGACAACTTTTATAGTGAAGATGAGGAAAGTAGAATATTAGTCTAAAGTAGAATATTGTTTCCACTGGCACTACAATCCCCTTCTTCACAATTTATATTAGTCTAAAGTAGAATATTGTTTCCACTGGCACTACAATCTAGTGGTATTAATTCTTACATACTGGTTAGGTGGGTTGTCAAAGTTTGACTTGCTTGAATGGTGAGTGTGATATCTAAATTGTTATGCATTGTCTATTGTGTTTTTATAAAAATAGAAAGTGAAATATCGTTGATATAAATAAAATAAAAGTGAGAGCGCACAACCCATTTTATCATGTGCATTGATTTCATTTAATTTATTCAATTTAATAGTTAAAAATAAAAAAAGGTGTTTGTGTCACTCAGTACTACAGTCTAGTTGTAATTCTCTTCACTTGTAAGTGAGAAGTCTTAGGTTTGATTGTTGCCAAAGATGAATTTGAACCGTATTATTGTTTGTTCAAAAAAAAAAAAAAAAAAGGTTTGAAAGAAGCTAAAAAGAGTATAAAAATCACGTTCCAAAGAAAAAATGGCTACAACTATGTGAAAAAAAAAACCTATGGTCACAATACCGATAGCTTGTTTTCCTTTTACTTCATGCTCCATTTATGGCCTTTGTTTTAAACCTATTATTATTATAACACAGTTTGGCTGCCATTTTAAGATTGCATTTTCTTCACTTGCAAGTAAAATATTTTAAGTTCGAATCCTATAAATGGCAAGTTTGATACTATTTTATTCCTCACTTTTAGTGTAAACATATTATTGTATAAAATAAAAGTACAAAGGTGCCAATTAGGTATAATACTCCAGTAATCAAGAAAATGTTCTAGAGTGAATTTGCTCAACAAACAACTATAGTAAATCCTTATGTGGCTATCACATGTATGAAAGCACCAAAAGACAGCTATTATATTTGTAACAAAATGGTAGACGCAACATATTTGTATTATCTCTCTCCTCTTTTACCCATCACCATCATACATCTCTCATCTTTCACCCATCACATTCATCTCTCTATCTTCTCTGTCCCTTTTTACAGGCTCTCTCACTCTCTTTTCTCTCTCTGTCTTCTCTCTCCCTTTTTACGTCTCTCTCTTTCTCTCTTATAGCCGCTATAAAGCCTCTCCACAAGAGAGCAAGAGAAGGATCACAACCAAGAATACTCTCTTCACTAGCAAAAGAGTGACACCCATAACCAAGAGATGGAGACAATTATAGAAGACAGGGTAAACATGGGCGAAACGAGAGAATAGGTAAAGAAGAATTGTTGCCAACCCCAAGATTAAAGGTGGTGATCAATGGTGAAGGATTGTTCTTTGATTTTCTTCCAATGGCTAGTAGATACGCTACATATTGGTATTGCATAATTTTAGGAAGACCAAATTTTTCAACCAAATTTTCAAACTAGATGATGTGTCACTAATAAGAAATAAGCACGTAAATCGAACTTAATTTAATAATCCGATCATGAACAACCTCATAAGTTGGTTTACAAATGATTAAAATAAAGTTAATTAACAAAAACAAGTAGTCTTGAAACCTAATAAAGCTAAACTATAACATGCAAAGAGACAATAGTCAATCTCTAGTACAACTTCATCTTCCCTAAAACTCTATTCTAACTTGTCACCCTTGCATAGTGGATTTTCTTGGCTAAAACATCTCTCCCAGCCTGCTTGAGATCCAAAATGCATGAATGTTCTTCTGGGTCTGTGCATCCCACAAAACACACCACCACTAGCGGCACTGAAATCCCAACACTCCAACCTTTTCGTTGTAGCTTTGGCACCTATTTTTGTCTGTCACACCGACACTTGATTCGATATCATTGTTCCCATATTATGATCATTAGAAACTAGTGAAGTAACTGATGAAGTTTGAAAAAAAGGCGAGGAGAAATTCCGCTAACGAAGGAACCCAGATTAAGTTTTTCCTTCGAGGTCACGTCGGCTGATGCTGCAGTGTTCATATTTTCTTGATTTAGATGATCTTCATTGTAGAAAAACCAATTAGGTTTTCTATGTTTATTTCTTAATGAGGTTTACAACGCACACTTATATACATGAGTGCATGCTAAAATAGGTAAGAATAAGTTGACTTACAAGAACAGAAACTAAATATTACAATGATACTTTCCTATACAGCTGCTATGTGACCAAATCTTCATCCTTGATTCTTGCAATCTTTAACACTCCCCCTCAAGTTGGAGTGTATGTTGATTACACTCAACTTGCTAAGAAGACTTTCAAACTGGGAGGTACTCAGTGCCTTGGTGAATAAGTCTGCCAATTGTTGTAGAGTTCGTACATGAGCAGTTTGGACAACTCCTTCTTGTATCTTTTCTCGAACCAAATGACAATCGATTTCGATATGTTTTGTCCTTTCATGGAACACAGGGTTGGATGCAATATGAAGTGCAGCTTGGTTATCACAAAACAAAATAACTGGCTGTGAATGATCGACACATAAATCACTAAACACATACTTCAACCAAGTTATCTCGCAACATGTAGATGCTATGGCTCTATATTCTGCCTCCGCTGTTGATCTCGCTACTGTGGTTTGTTTCTTTGTTTTCCAAGATATGAGTGAATCTCCAAGCATGATGCAATACCCCGAAACTGACCTTCTTGTGTCTTTGCATTTTGCCCAATCTGCGTCACAATATGCTTTCAACTGAAGTGAGCTTGTTGAGTGAAGCATGATGCCTTGCCCTGGTGACCCTTTTATGTACCTCAAAACTTGGTGCGCTGCATCTAAATGCGGCAGTCTAGGCTTGTCCATGAATTGACTTAAAATGTGGACAGAGTAAACAAGATCTGGCCGTGTTATTGTCAAATAAATTAGACGTCCAACAAGTCTTCTATATGCGGATGGGTCTTCCAGTAACTCTCCATCTGTTTGTGTGAGTGTCAAGTTTTGATCCATGGGAAACCGTGCCGGCCTTGCTCCAAGAAAGCCAGTATCCTCCAACATATCTAAGGCATACTTTCGTTGTGATAATGAGATACCTTGAGATGACCTTGCAACTTCGATGCCCAGAAAATACTTCAATTTTCCTAGGTCTTTGAGTTTGAATTTGTTAGCCAAGAACTCCTTTGTCTTCTCAATAAATGGTAAATCGTTGCCTGCCAATATCACATCATCCACATACACTAGAATAGTAGTAAGGCTGGTACCTTTGGATCGGACGAACAAAGAATAATCCGCATTGGATTGGCGATAACCTGCGGCCTTGAGTGCAGAAGAAAGCTTAAGGAACCATTGTCTCGAGGCCTATTTAAGCCCATAGAAAGACTTCTGAAGTTTGCATACTCGTGTCTCCCCCTTTCGTCCGTATCCTGGTGGAAGTCGCATGTAAACATCCTCAAGTAAATCGCCATGGAGGAAAGCATTATTGACGTCAAGTTGATACAAATGCCAACCTTTGGCAGCAGCAACAGCAAGCAATAATCGAACTGTGACTAATTTAGCAACAGGAGCAAATGTCTCGATGTAATCGAGGCCTTCGACCTGTGTATAACCTTTGGCAACCAAGCGTGCTTTGTAGCGTTCCACTAAGCCATCAGGATTGAGTTTGACTTTGTAGACCCATTTGCAGCCGATGGGTTTCTTCCCAGAAGGAAGTGGTTGAAGGGTCCAGGTGTGGTTGGCTTCAAGAGCAGTAACCTCATCGCGCATGGCTTGGCACCATTTGGGATCCTGGATAGCCTGCAGGTAAGTGTGGGGCTCTTTGACAAGGGAAAGAGATGTGGTGAAGGCATAGTGAGTGGGAGACAAGCGAGCATAAGTTAAAGAGTGAGAAAGAGAGTGAGAGGTACTACCTTTATGTGAGCCAACGGTAGAGGCCGATGATTGGTGAGGACGAGAAGGCAGTGGGACACCAACATGAAATTGTTGAAGGTAAGAAGGTGGCCGAGTGATGCGGAAAGATGAACGTCGGGAGAGTTGGGGTGGTAGGGTTGGTTGTATGTCAACTGGAGAAGGAATGGGGTTTGGAGGTGGAGGTATGGTAGCAGGTGTGGGTACAAGAGGGTCGGGAATGGTGTCTCTGGGAGAAGAAGTGTCGTCGACGATGGGAGGGGGAGGTGTGGTACTGGGCGGATCAAAAGAGAGATTATCCATGTGAGATAGATAGGGTAAGGTTGGTTGAGGGTTGGTATCAGAGTGTGGTGTGGAAGAAGGAGTATAGGGAAAGGTATGTTCACAAAAAAGTACATCACGTGAGACAAAAATTTGACGTGTGTTAAGATCATAGACTTTGTACCCTTTCTTGCCATAGGGGTAACCAAGAAATATGCATGGGGTAGACCTCGCATCAAATTTGGACGGATGATATGGGTGCGTGGATGCAAAACATAAACATCCAAAAACTTTCAAATGTGAGTATTTAGGTGGTTTATGGAACAAAAGGTCGTGAGGTGTTTTACCATACAAGACGATGGTGGGCATACGATTGATGAGATAAACTGCAGTGAGTATGGCTTCTCCCCAGAAATTGGTAGGTAAGTTTGCTTGAATAAGTAATGCCCGGGCAACGTTGAGGAGGTGACAATGTTTACGTTCAACCACGCCATTTTGTTGTGGAGTGGCAACACAAGTGGTTTGATGGATAATACCCTTGGTCGAGTAGAATGCAGCAAGATTAAATTTGGGACCATTGTCACTCCTAATGGTCTTCACTTTGTGAGAAAACTGGTTTTCAACGAGATTGATAAAACTTGTCAAATAATGTCGTGTGTCAGATTTGTGTTTCATTAAGTAAATCCAAGTGGAACGAGTGTAGTCATCAACAATGGTGAGGAAATAATGTGCTCCAGTGAGTGAAGCAACACGAAACCCCCCCCCAAATATCCATATGTAATAGTTCAAAAGGTTTACTAGTTGAAATGGAACTTAATGAAAACTGAGATCTTGTTTGTTTGGCTAAAGGACACACAAGACAATTATTCGAAACAAAAGAACCAATAATATTTTTAGGAAGTGAAGTATGATGAAGGGCTTTGTCAGAGAGATGCCCTAGGCGTTGATGCCAGAGTTGGGATGAAGCTTTCGTAACAACATGACAAGTGGACAAAGTGGGTCTCCCGTTGGTGTCATCCAAGAAGTATAGGCCTTCTCGCTCAGTCCCCGTCCCAATCATCTTCCCTGAACGAAGGTCCTGAATCACACAAAAGTAACTTAGAAAAATGGTGATGCATGAGGACTGATAGGCAAGTTTACTGATAGAGATGAGGTTGAGTTGGAACGTGGGGACACAAAGGACATCATGTAAGATAAAATCTGGGGAAAACTGCATGGTTCCTATATGTGTCACAGTAGCATAAGAACCATCTGGTAGTTTTACGGTTTTATTGTTAACAGGCACAAAAGATGTCAGCAAAGTGTGTGAGGAAATTATGTGGTCTGTGGCACCGTTATCCAAGATCCATGATGACTTCTGATCATGAGAAGTGAAAGGAAAGCTTTACCTGAGAGATCATTTAGAGAGGAAATTTTACCAATGTTGTTTGCCTTGGCTTTATTGCCATTGAGCATGGTCAAGATCTGCTTGCATTGGTCAGGTGTAAAAGGGAAAGAATTTCCCAAATCTTGCCTTTCAAGGTTGCTTGAAATGTTATTTCCTCTCGGTCGCTGCTGTTTAGAATGACTTCTTTGTTGCTCCGGATCTGTCCTTTTAAGCCTTCGACAATAATCTATCGTATGACCCTTCCATCCACAATAATCACACTTTAAATGGGCACGACAATCTTCAGAGGTGTGATTATCTTTGTTGCAACGAGTACATTTCATATCAGCACCCTTCTTGCTAGAATCTGGTCCTCTTGCAGCAAAGGCAGCAGCTTCCTGAACTGGCGATTTTCCTGTGGTGGTGTTGTGCTGCTTCTCATGTCGTAGCACAAGGGAGTATACTTTGTTGACGGGAGGAAGTGGATCCATCAACAGAATTTGATCCTTTGTTGCACTGAATGTTTCATTAAGTCCCATAAGAAATTTAATTGCCTTTTGATTTTGCTGGAATGCCAACACATGTTGCAAAGTGTTGTAGTCGCAATCGGGTAGGCTAATCGCAGCATCTCTCTCATCCCACAACACCTTGAGTTTGGTGAAGTAGGAACTTACGGTTATTGCTCCTTGAACACAATCATGAATTGCACTTTCAATATGGTATAACTGCATATTGTTTGTTTGAGAAAACCGTTCTTTCAAGTCTTCCCAAACTTGGTATGCGAGGTCATAGTAAATGACGCTTGATTGAAGTCCTGGTGATATTGAATTTACCAACCATGTTTTAACCAGGCTGTTACATCGAACCCACTAATGCAAGTCTGCTGCAGCAACCTTTTGTTCTGGTTTCTTGAAGGTTCCATCAACAAAACTAAGTTTGTTTTTGGCTTTTAATGCACCGATCATCGCCCTGCTCCAAGTGTTGTAGTTGTCTGGAGTGAGCGGCTGAGAAACGAGCATCATTCCCGGCTGATCGGAATGATGCAGGTAATAAGAATGATTAACGTCAAACGTGGTTCCCTCCATTGAACCAGAGGGCTTGAGTTTGTCATCGTTCTCTGCCATGATAGGCGGCTAGGGTTTGTTATTTTCTTTGGTCCCAAGATTAGTGCTCCGGTACCATGTAGAAAAACCAATTAGGTTTTCTATGTTTATTTCTTAATGAGGTTTACAACGCACACTTATATACATGAGTGCATGCTAAAATAGGTAAGAATAAGTTGACTTATAAGAACAGAAACTAAATATTACAATGATACTTTCCTATATAGCTGCTATGTGACCAAATCTTCATCCTTGATTCTTGTAATCTTTAACATTCATAGCATTTGGAGCACAGGTTCTTGTTTTCCACAGAGCCATAGAACCCACAGCCGCTTGCACACATTGGAGGCTCCATACTTGATATGTCAACTTTGTGTTAAGCGTTGATATGCACCAGCAATAAATATTGTATTATACGCAAAACAAGACAATCCAGATTCTTCGTCTTCTCTTCTTTTCTTCTTCTTGTTATACGAACGATATGTTTGTGGTTATATAAGGAAGGGTGGCGGTGGGAGACTACTGCAGGAGGTTTACCTTTTAGAGTTGTATTTCTATTTCTCGTAAGAAGAAAAACCCTAACCTCACTTGGTAGTTCTATTTCTAGAAGCTTCCACGTTCTTCTTTGTCGATATTCTACGAACTTCTTTTTATTTGTTACTTTTTCCTTTATATAATTTGTTGAAAACATTGGCAGTGTTGAAAATATTTGGCAGATTAATGAATGCCCACACAAATTTTCAATACCCACACACTAATGTGGACTTTGGAAATGAAGGAGATCGTATTTTCAAAAGGTGTGAGCTGGAGTTGCTCTATAAATAGAGCGCTCTGTGTACTATCAAAATACAAAAAAAGAACAAGAAAGATCAATGACATTATTATCTACCCTCCCTCTTTTATTTATCATTCCCTTGTGTGTTTAGTTACAGTGTAATATTTTACACCTGTTTCGCTCCTGTCACTAATAAAGGCTATCTCTCTAACTTTTGCCTATTTATAATACGTTATTAGCATGACTCTCTAACCATTTCTCATTTCTTTTCGCTGAAAGAAAGAAAAAAAAAAAGTTTCCTCTAAGGATTTGCAGACTTGCCAGTTTGCCAAAGATAGGTGATCTCACTCGTCACTGAAATGATATTGAATGATACAAACGTCATCTCAGTACTTCTAATCGACACTGAAGAGTGAAGACAGCCACTGATCGATTACTTGGAGCATGGAAAGCTTTCAGATGATCCTAGACACCGCTCTGAAATATGTCGACGAGCACCTCGCTTCCTTTATTACAAAGAAAAAAAATCTACCGACACTCTTTTGAAGGAGTACTTCTAAGATGCCTAGGTGAGGAAGAAGCCAATCAAGCCAAGGAGAAAACACACTTAGGTGTATGTGGAATGTAACAGTCTGGACCAAAGTTACACTTCCAGCTCAAAATAATGGGCTACTACTAGCCAAGCATGGTGAAGGGTTGCCTGGAATACACCAAAAGGTACCAAACCTACCAATTCCATGCTAACTTCATACATCAACCGTCTGAGCCATTACACCCTACGGTTACTTCATGGCCATTTAATGCATGGGGATTGGACGTTGAGGGACCAATCTCACCAAAATCATCTGCTAAAGAAGCTTACATCCAAGCCATAACTGATTACTTTTCCAAATGGGCTGGGAAGTCAAGAAGGAAACTGTTGTTTGTTGCATCAAGGAGTATATCATCCATCGATATGGTGTACCTCACTACATCATCACCGACAACAGAAAAACAGTTCTCCAACAGAAAAACATCCTGGCCCGGGCCCCTACCACATCCTAAGCTCGACTCCACTGTAGCACGATATTGTCCGTTTTGGGCCTCTACCACACCTTCACGATTTTGTTTCTGGGAACTCACACGAGAACTTCCCAGTGGGTCACCCATCCTGGGATTGCTTTCGCCTGAACTCGCTTAACTTCAGAGTTCCAATGAACTCCGAAGCCAGTGAGTTCCTAAAAGGCCTCATGCTAGATAGAGATGAGAATATACATATAAGGCTTACAGGATCCACTCCCCTGGGTGATGTGTGATGTAACAATCCAACCCCCTTAGGGGTTCGATGTCCTTATCAGCACATTTCCGCCCAAGGATTGGCTCTGATACCAAATTGTCACATCCCAGCCTAGGCCTATCCTGGACTCGACTCCACCGTAACACGATATTGTTTGCTTTGAGCCCTTACCACACCCTCACGGTTTTGTTTCTGGGAACTCACACGAGAACTTCCCAATGTGTCACCCATCCTGGGAATGCTCTCGCCTGAACTCGCTTAACTTCAGAGTTTCGATGACCTGTAAAACCAGTGAGTTCTTAAAAGGCCTCGTGCTAGGTAGAGATGGAATATATATATAAAGCTTACAGGATCCACTCCCCTGGGCGATGCGGTTAGGGATTGGCTCTGATACCAAATTGTCACATCTCGGCTCGGGCCCCCACCACATCCTGGGCTTGACTCCACCGTAGCACGATATTGTCCGCTTTGGGGCCCGACCTCACCCTCACGGTTTTGTTTCTGGGAACTCACGCAAGCAGAACTTCCCAGTAGTGATGCAAACTAAGTAAGCACACAAATTAAAACCCTCTTGTGACAATTGTAGTATATAAATAAGTAGGGATCGTTCTTAACCGGGGATTAGGAGGGATTGCAAAATCACTTGGAAACTGACTCAAAAACGTAAAATAAAGTTTGAAACACTAAACTAGACTCAAAGAATGCAAAATTAACAATAAAAACACTCAAACAAATCAAAAGACTCAAAGAATACAAAACACTTATAAACACAAATTAAGACACTTTCTAACTAAATTAGACACTAAGGTAAAGGGGGATTGTGGTTTTTACGAAAATAAACTAAATGCAACGATTGTAATTTAAAGGCAGAATTTAAATATGAATGTGATGAAATATGGAATGAATGCTAGCTAGAAGGTTCTTCTCCACACATGTTACACTTGCATACAAAATGATTTTCAGTTGGTCTTTCGATGAATTATGGAACTCGACACTCCAAGTTAATTAGGTCCGCTTAAATTAACCTTCAAATTTCCCTAGAATCATTGAATTGGATGAATATGCATCGCAAACAAATTATTCCTAACAAGTTCTCTATATGAACAGCATGATAAAGATACAAGTTAGAATCATTACGTTCTTTGGAAATTATAAGCATCGACAAGGCATTTGTAACTATGAAAAGCATGATACTTTTGCCAGGAATTCAATTAACGCGATTGTTTATAAGCAACCTCCACTACTTGTGAATATAAGTTCATAACTATTAGGTGAAACTCACTTATATTCTAGCGTCAAATTTATGCATGAACATTAAGCGTGCACTCTCAATAAACATACACAAACAAGTTATCAATCAAACAGTTAAATGAATTGAATCCAACATTCATGAAATTCCAACCAAATATAATCAATTCATATTGCAAGCATAAACATGGTTTCGAATCACCCCCTAGCTAACTAGGGGGATTTAGCCTCTCATGTTCACAAAAAGAGAATTACAAATGAATTTAAACATAAAGCACAAAGGATTGATTACACCTAGAACGCCCAACGAATCCACGTGAATTGGTGCGCGTCGAAGCTCTTCTTTCCTCTTCTCTTTATTGCGGCAGAGATGGTCTAGGGAATTTCTAGAGGTTTTTCTGATTTGGGGATGGATTTAGGGATGGTTTTATGGTGGTTTAATGGTGCGGCAATGGTGGTGGAAGGTGTAGAATGGTGTGGAATGGTGTGGAATGGTGTGGAGATGGCACGACAAGTTTTGAATGGAAGGGGGATGGCACGGCAAATGGAGAGAATCTGGAATTATGGTGTTGCGGCTGGAATGTTTTTGGGGAGAAAGGAATGTCACGGCTGAAGAATGAATGGGGAATAATGGGATTTTCGGCTAGGTTTTTATTTGGTGATGGAATACACGGATTTTGGTGGAATGGAAGGGTTATGGAATTATGGCTTTTGCGGCTGATTGGAATAATGGGAGAATGGAGTCAAAAGTAAATGGGAATTGCGGCTGGAATTTATAAAATGGGAGATGGCTGCAATGTTTAGGTTATGGTATCCACGGGTTATGGCAAGGAAATGTGTATGACGGCTTAATAAAAAAAATGGAGAAAAAGGATTGAATGAATAATCGGCTAAGAAGAATAAAATAAGAAAAATGGTGGCTGAATATTATATATGGCTTAATGTGTATTAGGGTTGTAAATGGATGCACGGTTTTATGGGAGAATTTAGGGAAGTTGGCTTGCGGCTTAGGGGGGAAGAATTAGGGTGAATATTAGGTGCGGCTAGGTTGTAAAAAATGTGTAGGGTTTCAGAAAACTAACCCTAGCTTATTTAAAATTAAATCAAAGGCTTACGAAAATAGGAAATTAAAACATAAATATAAAGGTGCGGCTAGGAAGGGAAATAGGGCTAGGGCCTTGGTTTTGTGTCCTAAAGTGCATACGAGGCCTATAAAGTGGCTAGAAAATATGGACGTTTAGAATTAGGAAAGGTTACCAAAACGGGAAACTTAGGGTCAACTTTCCTAAAATAGGAAGCCTTGTTTGAGTAGGATTCTTCGTTTTGGTAAGAATTCATCGTTGGTGTAGGAATTCGTCGTTTCTTCAAGTCTTCAACTCATTCATTCCTCTTTCGCTCCAAAAGACTCCAATTTGCATCTTCTTGCACACTTTGACCTTATAATCTGAAAATACACAAAAGTGGCCTTAAACACTAAAACAACTAAGTAAACACAACATAAATGCACGAGAACAAGCTAATTAAGTCGCATGAATATGCGCCTATCAAATTCCCCCACACTTAACTTTTGCTAGTCCTCGAGCAAAACAAAACAACTAAAGTAAACAATACGAAACAAAACAAACAAAACATAATTTAAACCTTCCAACGTTTGCCTCAGGGATTTCCAATGAAACATGACATATCAAAGATCATTACTCACATAGCTTTTAGTCTTCCTTC